AAAAAAAAAAATTGAAATACAAATCAATAATGTCAAGCACAAATCGTTTTTCAAATAATTTTGTAGCTGAATTAAACCACTTTGACTAGGAAACGTCATCTAACTGCTACCGGAGCTTTTCTGTGCTAAGCAACTTTTCAATATATACATATTGACTATTTTCTTCATGCCATATGTTTACTAAAGGTTTTCAAACATAATTTTACTGTCTTCCTAAATTCAAACACGTGGAAAAAATAATTTGTATAAGTTGAATTTTTTTTATTAGAAATAAAATCATAAACAAGTTTAGGGAAGAAAGTCGACCAAATGCGAGTGAGACTCGATCACGAAAGGTTTCGTTCCGTAAAAAAAACTCATTGTTGTATACACAACAATGAGATTTTTTGCCCTTAAATATTTATTTTATTCATTTGTCTAATAGCGGCAAAAGAGATAAACTATCTCTGAAAATTTCATCACGGTTCAATAGATACAGCCTGGTGACAGACAGACGGACGGACAGCGGAGTCTCAATAAAAGGTTCCCGTTTTATACTTTTATGTATGGAACCCTAAAAAAAGACATATATTTTATTAATGAGGAAGATACATGTAGGAAATAAAATTTATTATTATGTGTTTAAATTTGTAACACCTTCATTTAACATAAACAATATTATAATATTACATTAATATTATAATAATAATTTACATTTAATTCCTTAAAGCTGCGCTGTTTAATCGGTAAAAATAAAAGTCAATTTTCTTTTTTTTTTTACTTGACATCGAACTGGCATCCCCGTACATATATTCAACGAGATAAAAATTGCTGTTCCATCTATGTATCAGATTCATCCAATTCCATTCGTCTTTTCGACGGTTCAAATATCGTCGCGTATCCAACAATATCGCTTTAGTCGAAAATTGGTAATATGACGTTTTACGAAGGACATTTGTTGACTTACAGAGAATTTGAAAATTGTCCAATTACGTCACGTTATTTAAAAAGAAATACAGAATTTGCAATACAGCAAATAATTTCAGCGAATTTTTTTCAGCTTTGCATTTCAATTTCGTCTTTGTCGTATAGTTACGTCTCTAAATTAAATCTCTTCGTCCCCTTTTTTTGTAATAAAATGTAACCTATGTAATTTATCAAGATTATCTCTAATTTTGGCCAAATTGTATGAAATTCAGTTCAGTACTTCATGTGCAACACACAGTTACTTTGCATATAAAGATTTTTAGGGAAGTAAGGGTTAATGAAACTCGTTGATGTCTTTTTAATAAAGAGCATGAATGTTTTTTTTGTTTTACAAAAATATTATAGAAAAGTTGAATTAAATATTCTCACACAAAAAATGGATGCTACATTATAACCATTGGTCAGTAGCTTTTTTTTATGTAGAGGATTATCTATTGAATTCATCGCGTTTGTATTTAGTTTTATTGACGTTCCGTGTTCTTATGTGAATAATAAAAACAGAATTTCGGACCCTTTACAGGTTCCTTGTTCGTATGTGAACACAGTTACCTTCAAAAGTTGTTTCATTTAGAGGATTATCTATTATTCATTGCTTTTACACGTAAGCTCCTTCGCGAGTTAGGTTTGGGACAGAGGAATTAATTTATGATAAACTGTTATATAAAATGTACACACTTTTACCACTTTCCTTTCAGGAAAATGATCGAAATGTATTTTTTCTAATTTAAAAACTGTTACTAAAATACTTTTTTATTCATACATTGTATGAAAAAGACTATGGAAGCCACGAAACCGTCTGATATCACCGTGATTAATCTGATAGTGAAAAGTGTATCTTGGTCTTCCCCGGCTTCAGCATCCTTCTACTCTTCCAATTTTGATTTTGCTTTGCGATCAATTTGATTGCCGTGTGTCTTGACTTCGGCTTCCGCATCCTTTTAACCTTCCACTTTTGCTTTTGTATATCAGTTTTATTATTCTTTCTTTTTATAATCTACTTACCAATAGAGTTTGCAATTGTTTATTTTCTCGCCGAAACTATATTTCTGACTTATTTTACATCTTCAGATTATTTGTATCAATGAACTGGAAGAGGAAGATTATATAGAGTAATAGTGTCACAAGCTTCTGTTCCTCCTACTGCGTAATTTAAAATAGGCCAAGGTAATGACTCTAACTGAAATAGCTTCTAAGAGATTCCGTTAATTTACAAGAGCTTTAAATATAATTAAAACTGTTGTACAAAGCGAACTTGGAACGATATAGAAGATAAGGGATATTAATGTTCAGCTTGACATGCCCCGTCTTCTATATCCTTCCAAATTTAAATTTTCACTTCTATTTCAGGACAAAAATATTTTTAAACTTGGTTATTGTACAAAAACTTTTAAATATTATGGTAATTGTTGTATAAAGTGAATTTTGAAGGTTAAAGAAGACGAGGAATATTAATATTCAGCTTTCAAGATTTAATATTGGGAGGGTGGTATCAAAGGCCATAAATATTTTTGTAACGAAAGGCGTGTATGAAGATCATGCCATTCTTTTAGTTCTTACTACCTAAATCCAAGACTCGTTAATAGTGTTTACAGTTTAAGCGGTTAGATTAATAATTAATAGATATGATTAGTTCTAAAAGATTGATCCCAATGCAATATTGATTAATCGCAAAACTAAATCTGATCAAAAGAGAGAAAATGAACTATTCCTCGTCTTATATTTTTGTTAAAATCATATGCTGTGCATCAGAGGATACAACCACCGTTACATAATAAATTATATTGACAAAATTGTTTTCTGGAGTCGTATTAGCTTTCTGAAAAGATAAAATATTTCGATTTCAGAGAACTTTAGCTGTCATCTTACTGGGCGACGTCGGAATTTTTATTTCTGTCACATTATTTTTTCGAACAAAAGAAAAAGTAAAAATTTGCCATCTAATATCGCCTTTATCAGCGAGAACCGTATCAAACCTTTAGTTAGCACACTTAAGGAAGAAGTTAAAAACCTTGGAATTAATAGAGGTGGAGAGCGACTTTTATTTATTGAAGACACACATTTACATAGGATGGATCAGTAGATCCTAAGAATTTATTAGTTACAAGTTTATCATTAGAGTCGTATATTAATTTATACGTCACAAACAGTAAAACGTAAAACCGTATTGGTTATAAAATTTTGTTTATATGTATAAAAGACGCGAGTCGAACTGTTTATAGCGGCATTTATGAGGTTGCAATAATAGATATTGCTCTGAAAACGATAAAAATACTCAAGTAAATTCAAAAACATAAACCTTGACTGCATTGGATGGAAGTTAATGCTGTTTTATATGGTATTTTATGGTATATATAAAGAAATTAAATGAGTAACAAATAAAAATGACATTACCAAAGGAAGTTTTTTGTTAAAATGTTGTTTAAATTTTGTTAAAACATGTAACGGCACCGATTAAGCAAATAATAATGAGTTATGATTTTAATATTATAATTAATACATAACTTTAACTGTAAGCTTTAACTTTCAAGTTACTCCGCCTAAATAAGAATTACATCCATTTCCATTAAGCTAGAACAAAGCATAATTTATTAGGGAACGCCTTATAATACGAATCGCCTAAGCAGATTAGTTTAATTCCAAATTAATGTTTTTTTCTTCTATCCCTTGACAAATTAGTGATGTGTTGTATACGCAAATGCCTAGCGCAAGGCTCTGCAAAACGAACATCATAACTGAAGAGATTGCTTAATTTCGTTAGGTGGTTCTTAGTCAATGGTCAAATACATTTTTACCTGAGGCGATTCCTAAATATTAAGGCGACAGGTTTGGGAGACTCCTAAGTTTAGTGAAAACGGGTATTAATATCTTCAAATTTGACATAAACCAGAACTTTAACTGCAATTATGGTGCAATCCAACTTAGTATTAAAACACTGATATTATAGTATGTATGATATTATTAAATAATTTTGTATTTAAATTGCATTTATATAATCACTACATATTATAAAACAAAGTCGCTTTCTCAATCCGTATATCCCTATGGATATGTATACTTATATCTTAAAAACTACGCAACGGATTTTGATGCGGGTGATTCAAAAGGAAGCCGCAAGCCGCTGGCGGAAAGCTAGTAAAAAAATATAACAATATTATTGTTGTTTACTCATCATCATCATGTAAGAGTAGCTCGGTGGCGTAGTGGATAAGCGCCGCGGCATGCGATCGTAGTCGTTAAGCAACTTTCGCAAGGGTCGGTCACGGGATGGGTGACCAAAAAAAATTATTATCTCGAGCTACTCCGTGCTTCGGAAGGCACGTTAAGCCGTTGGTCCCGGCTGCATTTGCAGTCGTTAATACCCTCCAATCCGCATTGGGCCAGCGTGGAGGGTTATGGCCCATCCTCCTTAACCATCCATAAGGAAGGCCTGAGCCCCTGCAGTGGGGACGAAAAAGGGCTGGCGATGATGTGATGGTGATGACTCATCATCAGTCCACAATAGCTCAATGTGGATTGGTGCAGTGATAGATGCAGAGCGATGCAAAGGCTCAACTTGCCTTCCGAAGCACGAAGGAGTTCGAGATAATAAATTTTTGGTCACTTATCCGATGACAGGCCATTGCGAAAGTTGCCTAACAATATTTCGCAAACCAAGCGCTCTAACCACAGGTCATCGAACACCCTGATTTGTGTTAGGTTTATTGAAATTATGCCCAATGTATTTATTTTATTTGAGCATTTTGTAGACACATATATTTTACATGAACAATTATCAAAGACATTAATTAGTACATGGGTACTGCTTATTACAATTTGAAATTTCAACCAGTAGCTAGTGAGTCCCTCAAAAATAAAATTAATAGGGAAAATATAAATAAATATAATATTGGATATTAAAATGAAATAATAGTCTAAACTTATTATGTAACTATACCACGCAAACCATAAGCTCGTCACGACGTGGGCAAAAGGGTAGTTATAAAAAAAAATAGATCTCAAAAATGATTATTATGTAAATTGTTATCCAGGATACAATGATGCGTGGTACTAGGGGAGCTCTGGCGGTGACAGTCGCCGCACTGCTTGTTTGCTGCAGCGCTGATTCACATCAAGTAAGTATACATAAACATAAAGAATTTGCAGAAAATTCACAAAATTTTGTATAAAAACCTCTTTTTTTGTATAAAAACTTTTTTAATTTGTTAATATCGGAGATAACAAATAAAAGTGGTGTGTAAACATGTTGCTACTTACGATATACCGACTGTCAATGATCGTTTTTAGTCAAGATACGCTGACAGATAGTATGTAGTTTGTTCACTAAACGTAATATTATCAATTATTATATGAAACATGCTAAAAAAAAGCACTCTGTCCCTGGCACTCTGAGATGAGGCTCGAATCAATGACCTTTCACAATCTGGGCGACTCTAATCACTGAGCTACCCAAGACCTAACAGGACTGATGAATCTTTTAAGCACTTGTTACTATTTGCTATTACAGAGCGTATTTTCATCAATGTTCAGGCAATCCACCCAAATAGCCGAAAGAAATATTTTTACAAATATTTAAACTTTCAATAAAGATAACAATTTATTCTAATGATTATAATTAATGAACTTTGCGTTCATAATGCTATATTTAAAAATATTAAAAAGATATCTCAGAGTGCCCGGGACAAAGAAGATTTTTATAGCATTATTCATTAAGAATAAAATTACCAATTTTAGTTTTAAAGTATGATTTTTTATCATAGTTAAGTAATGTGCACTGGTAACAATTTTTTCGTGTATTTTAGAGAAAAAGTTTTATAACAGTGAAACTTTTAGGGACTGTTTTATGACATAATCCTTTGTTTCATTAAAATATAAGATAGTAGCCAAATTGAGCACAGCACTTGCTACGATTTAGATACAATGCTTACACAGAAAACTAATAAAAAGTGGACGTTCTTACAAACTTCGCAAGTATGTAGAAAACTATTTGTAACATATGTCTTAGATTAATTTCATTCTCACTTGTACCACACAAGATATTTATCCACAATAAGCAATATTAGGAAAACTCGCACATGTCGCTTATTAAAATTGAACCTATTTGTAAGGACATGAACTGGATATAATAATGTTATGAGCACTTATAAAAAAATAACTTACCTAAAAAAATAATAATTAGATAGATCTATGATAAAGTACTATGTTGCTAGTAAATGAATATTAATTATAAAATATAAAAAAGTAACATTATATAAAACCAGTCAAGTGCGAGTCGGATACGCGAATGGCGAAATTCGTACTAGAGACGAGGAAAAAAATCACGTTTGTTGTATGAGAGCTCTTAATATTTATTATATTCTGGTTTTTAGCATTTGTTGTCGAAGAGGCAAAAACTGTGAAAAATATCAACTGTCTATCTTTCACGGTTCACGAGATACAGCCTGGTAACAGACAGACAGACAGACAGCCAGACAACCAAACAACCAAACAACCAGATAACCAGACAGACAGAGAGACAGCGAAGTCTTTGTAATAGAAATACCCTTTTTGCCTTGGCAAGTTCCATCATTGATACAACTCCCTTATTATCTATGGAGTTCTATTTCCGAACCAATGGCGCAAATATTTTACCCATGACACTCTTCTACGACATTTTGCTTGCCCTGCATGCATGTAACATATGACTAACTCGGAAATATTTTTATCATTATCACCATCTTATTAATATCCCCACTGCTGGGGCTTAGGCCTTCCCTATGGCTGGAATTGAATAGGGAGAATGGGCCATGACCCTGTGCGGATTGGTAGGTAGTAACGAATGCAGATGCAGCCGAGACTAACGGCTTTATGTGCGTCCCGAAGCATGGAGAAGCTAGAGATATTAAATTGTTATTTTGTTAATAACATGATTTAGGTAATACTAACGAAGTATCAGCATATATTGAGTTGTGATGAAAGATATTAAAGTTGAACGTTGAATTTCGTACACATGAGTGGTGACATTCTACCAGTACTTTTGTGTTATTATTAGATTACTCTTTATGTATCATAACTATTATTTTTATAAATTCTATTATTTTAAAAGCTTTTCAGTAACAAAATAAAAGTCGTCTAACGTCTGTTTTACATTGTAAGAGGAGACACCTGAACTGAAAAGGTTATAAGTTTAAATCTCATCTCAGAGGTGTAAATTATTTCCCATTTTTATTTTGATTCATAAATTCATTGTTGGATAGTTTATTTATGACATGAACACATGTTTTATTCATGTTCAACAAAAACGTAGTAATAATAACTGACGTTTTCCTTACAGCTCACGAACCAATAAATATACTGGAGTGATTAAATAAAGCCTTTATTCGTTCAATATACTGTTTGTTGATTTTCAATCACATTGTTACATAACAATTTGATATTTGTTGTTTTTAAATCAACAGTTTCATTGTTTTTATGGACAACAATATCTAATTAAACAGATTCTGTATGTTAACGAATTCGATCATTTTCGTATCATAGAATTTATTGCGTCAGACACAATTACGTCTATACGAAGCTTTGCTCTGAGTAAATAATGTTTAAGGTTTATTTTTTTTCGTTTTCTATGATTAATAATATCTGCTTTGATTATTCACTTATTTCTTGTGTTATTAATAGTTTGGTTTGTTTATTAGGAATCAGAAAATGCTAATGAACATACGGTGGAGCGCTATGATCCCGGCTCTAGTGGTGAGTTCTTATATTCAACGCGTCCATTTTAAAACTATATTTGGTATGTCAAAATAACACCTTATTCTCGTTGGTCACTTTCGCACACGAAACTTATTTATAAAAGACTATTTATTCCTCACAACCCTTTTGCCCTAAATAATCACTGTATGAAGTAATTTAATGAACCACATTCACATCATCTCAATCATTTGTTTAACATTAAAATTTTGCACATCCTTTTTTCAAAGAGTTTCTATATTACCACCTTGATAAAGATCTCTCTTCACTTCCACACCTTACTTTTTATTAAATATGCACTGTGAAACACCATTCACGTCGACACACCATCGTTTTGATTGATCATGCAATTTACACAATGTAATAGTATTCACAATAGTCACAATTTTTCCACTAGTGGTGATGGAAATTGAGCACTTACGGAATGTATCACAGCTTCTAACGCACAATGCAACTGTGTAATATTTTTTGGTGAGTACAGAAATGTTTTCTATTTTGTAAAAGTTAAATTTATCATTTCAATTATAGCATGGTTGATTGTTTCAGATATTAAACATAAAGAAGATTTTCAAGATTACTTAAGGTTCCTATTGACATATTACAATGATTTTAAGGAACACAATCTTGATGGAAGTAGTGACATAATTGATAGTAATGGTTTCGCCGGCAGAAATGTTGTTGGGAATGATTTTTCTAACATGAACCAGGTTAAAAACTTTTACGACAACACGGCGAATAGACATTGGGGTAATCGTATCCCCTCGAAGTTTGGGAGAAGTAATGGAGAAAGGTATGTGAGGTTCGTTGACCCACTCGGTGGAGGCAACTTTGTTCGGCGTTCGGATTCAGCTGGAGATTATTTTGCGAGCAACATTGACTCAAATGGAATTTTGGTCAAGAAGAATTTGGATCATATCGGAGGACCGAATTTAGTTAAAAGGATATTGGACTCCATAGGTGGTGGTAATTTAGTGCGAAGAGCTGATGGAAGATCTATTAGAGCATTAGATTCCATTGGGGGACCCAATTTAGTTTAATGCAGTTTAAGATAGTTTATCCACTTCAACAGTCTACATACAACTCGTGAATGTTTAAAAATGATTGTCTTATCTTATTCGTCTAGTTTTTGCCGTTTTCTTAAATAAGTATGTTGAAATGTCTGAAATAAATTGATAGCAATACTGATTGTCTTATTGTACTGACCTTCCTTTGAAATGATGAGTTCATAACAACACAAACTCATAAGAATGAGGTAAGATTTTATGGTATATAATAAATTTTATACAGTCGATGGAGATATTTTATACGTAAATCCAGATCCTACTATATCCTCTGTATAAAATATTGTATTGATACAAATAGGTCACAAGCTCGCAGAAGTGGATCACCCAGGAGGTAGCTTCACGAGGCATGTGCGAGAGGCTGGACAGTACCGTTTTGTACCATACCTAATGACTAGGCGTTTTGACTATGTCAGGTGAGTTTTCTTATGTATACTGAATTAGTATGATACAAAATTCTGCACTAATAGAACAAGTAATCATTTAAAACATGTAACCTTATAATCCCAATTCAGTCCATACGGTGGTAAGCGCGATCCTTGGGCAATGAGCTACGGCGGATATTACGGGGACGGCCTTCCGAAGCGCAATTTTGATGAGATTGACCGGTAAGTGAATAAGAGCAGATTCAATATGTGTATTCACGAGATTGACTTTACGTTCAGCTAATTCAATATTACTTTAAGTTTTGACTAGGTAAATCAAGTGAGCTTACTATATAATATTGGACAACCTAAATGGTGTTCGATAATTGAATTTAAACCTGGAAGTGTTTTCGGAGGGACTAATAAATACGATAAAGTTTCTGTGACCTACTTTCTTCAGCTGTGTCACGAACTTAATACTATTCAATATTATATGAATAATATTCACTAACTTACTAACATTTCATGAGTGAGATTTTTCATATAAACCAACACTAATAATAAAATAATTTAATAACTTCCTTTAGTTCCAATGTGACAAATTCTGTAAATTTTAACGCGCAACACGATTCAGAAGTTATTTTTATTAATTGAGTAGAGCTTAGAGATGTATAAAATAAACTTAGTTAAATTTATTCTTAAACAAAAATGCTTTAGTGCTGTGAACTATCTCGATGAACTAGAAGTGACAAAACTTGTGAAGTTAAGAGTGCTGTATTTTAATATCGGAACTTTTTATAATTTTGTATTTTATAATATCGGAACTTTTTGTAATTTTTCTCGGGTTAATAATTTGGCGGATAGTGAACTCAATTGGAGTTAATTTTAATACCGAGCCTTAACCTCATAACATTTACTAGTGTTTTTTTTTAAGTATTTTTCTTTAAGATAAATATTAATATAGCATTATGAATGCAAAAATTTATTTTGATTTTATTTAGTATGGATCTGCAGTTGCTTAAATGATATATTTTCTCTTAGGTCGAACTTAGACACCTTCTTGCGGAAGAGGAACTTCGACGAGATCGATCAGACTTCGATGCCTTTCCCGTTCGCCAAACGCTTCTATCACCAGTACGGACTCAACTCCTTTGACTTAGATCTGCCAATGTAAGACGTGATTCACGTCGTACATTCGATGTTTGAGAAAAACTGACATTCTGATTGGTTATTAAGTTTAACTAAAAAGATTTGGAGTTCTTTGTAATTTAATTAGATCTACTTAAAGTTGATTTCACAAAATAAATATTTAATACCTCAATATGGCATATCCATATTAAGTGTTACATTTTTTATATTTCTATAGTATCAGTAAAATTAATGTTTGTTACATATTTTTGACATTATTGTCTAATGTGTGAGATGATGATTATTTGATTTGATTTTTATCATTAATAGGAAATAATAATTAAAAATTATACAAACAAACATGAAAATGTAGAGGAACCAAGCATGGGTGACCAAAAGAAAGTATCTTGAGCTCCTCCATGCTTCGGAAACTAGCATAAGTCATTGTTCGCGGTTGCATCTGCAGTCGTTAACACCAATCAATCCGCCCTGGGCCCAAATCGAGGGGGAGAGCCCATGGGTCATTGGCTCTCCCTTTCGATTTGATTCGATTCCATCCATTGGAAAGGACTGAGCCCCGGCATTGGTGACATTCATAGGCCTGTGATGCTGATAAAAATGTAGATAATGCCACGCTAACCAAATAGAATTCCATTCTAAGTTACCACTTCAACTAGACCCAGAATCTTTAATTGCCGACTTTACATTCAATATATCACCCAAAGAGTGGTGAATTAAAGTTACTGTTATTATTTACAGATCGAGTTTCGACAAAAAGAGGTACCGACCAGACTACCCAATGGATGAGATTGACCTGTCACAATTCCCCATCGGTTCCAAGAGATCTCAAAACACAATGCAGCCGCAGCACTAATACAAATCATTCAAAACATGTAGATGCAAGTAACTAGATTTTTGGGAGTCCACATGTCTCTCATTTGTGTCCATTATTATCGTAAATAATAATTATTTTAATAAAAATTATATTGTAGATGTATTTTATTAATATCTTAAAGTTATCAGTGTATGATATAATCAAATGCTCATCTAGCTATTTATTTTTATCGTATGAAGCGATGTATGACATAAAAATTCTTTTAAACTTATTATTAATACGCATGTAAATTACTTATGGGCATTCCATTAGATCTCATTATAGTTAGGAGAGAGAGGTTTAACGTAAGTTATTGTTATAAATGTTATATCGCTATTAAAGATTTTAAAATTTTCAAACTGTACCTGTAAATCTTTATTTTGCGACGAGTGGCATAAGATCATTTGAATTTAGGATTATGATATATTTTAAGAGTATTCTTGAAATTATTTAACCGAGTTGTAAAATAAATGGCTGGAAATAAAAAAAGAAATACTTGAAAGTGAATGTTTTTTTTATTTGTGACACGATGAAAAAAGTTTGGAGACATTATAATAATTTTTATTTATGAAGGTTTTTCTTTGTAAACAGGTAAACATATTTTAAAGGTAAGTAATATGCGATGCCAAGGGCTATTCAGCTCAATTTAACTCGGTAAATAGCATTCTGTGTGTATCAAAGGTTGAAATTATCTTGTGATGGGATGATAATAAATTGCCCGAATGGAAGCTTTAAAATTCAGAAATATTTGAAATTTTCTCTCAAATGTTATTTATCATTATTGCATTTACAATTCTATGTTGTTAAAAATACCTTTAAGAAATATTCAACATAGTACTATATAATGGTGTAATTTTGAAACTTATCGCAAACCCTTTCAGTTTGACATTTTAAAGGTAATCACGAACTTTAAGCTATTCACGAGCTATACAACTATTGTCATTGCAATCGCATCAAGATATTGAATGAATGATATCGTTAATTTGATGTTAATTGGAAGTGTTTAAGCAAAGCTATAGACGTGAATATCTATGAAAGCTATCTTTCGACTGGATTATCAAAATTTTTAGTATGTTTATATAATTTTTTCGATAATTGATATTCATTCGTTCCAAAAGACTTTAATCGTTAATTTATTTCATAAATACCAATTGGTATACTTATGAAAGGGATTGCAATAGATTTTAAAATTTGACAATTACCCCACAGCATCCCTTCTATGGTAATTTCTTTAAGGTATTTCAATATATATTGTGATGTGACGTTAAGATCTAAAAATAGAGATAAAAAGTAGGTGTCGCCTTATGAGGCCATTTGGTTTTAATCGTTGGAGTAAAAAAGAAATCCAGCTGGGCATTCCAGCGTTTGAACCAAAATTATAGTTATCGTCAGGCTTTTTACGGTCCCACTACAGGGGCTTACGCCTTCCTTAGGGATGGTATAGACGACTGCAGACGCAGCCTGTACCAACGGCTTAGTGAGCCTTCCAAAGCACGGAGTTGCTCGAAATAATATTTTTTTGGCCATCCATCCAGTGACCGACCCTTGTGAAAGTTGCTAAACAACAACGATCGCGAGCCGCGTCGCTTACTCACTACGCCACCAAGATGCTCAACTTGGAAAAATATAGTGTTTAAGTAATATCTATGTGTTTATTTTAATTAACCTCATTACGTGTATCAACTAAATGTTCTTTTTTGTAAAATAAAATCAAATAATATAACTTAACATTATTGTTGATCGAATTATTCTAGACATTGCTGATTCTAATTGGTTTAAAACCGGAAAATAGTGAAATGGGCAATCCGTAACTAATTTAGACCCATCCACTTTGTCCTTAGTTGCTTAATGATAATGGACTTGGAAATGATAATGAATCACGTCACCCGTTGGACGCTTAAAAAAATACTTACTGTCAAACAACAGGCGAAAAGTTTTCAAAGTAAATTTTTAGTTTTGCAGTGTAACTAGTAGGAAATTTCATGGTGGTTAATAAATTCTGAGGTAATATTAAATGTTTGTAATAAAAATTTCAGTCTCTTAAATAAAACCGACTTAAAAAAATTCAAGAAACTTCTATTAAAATTAAAAACGGTTAATAATTTTAATTCTTTTGACTTAATTTATTTATATTATTTTTTTGAAGTATGAATATTTTTTACTTTTATTGAGTATTTTTAAGATTGTTGAATTAAGTTTGTAATAAACTTGTCTAAGGTCTAAGGTCAAAGCCAAATAATCAAACAAAAAAATTAAAACCAAATAGCTAATTGCGAACAATATATATACATGCACACAAATAAATTTAGCACTCGTGTTGAGAAGCCCATATAGTAAATAAAAAATAAATAAATATTAGACAACATCACATACATTGTTCAGATTCCAAAATGAGTAGCTAAAGCCCCCGAGTTTCTGAGACAACGAAGGTACCACAACACCCAGGCCCGAGACAATATAGAAAAGTTCATTTTCTACATTGACCTGATCGAGAATCGAACCCAGGACCTCAGAGATAGTGACACCTTGAAACCGGCGTGCGAACCATTCGGCTACGGAGGTCGATTTTATGTCCAAATAGACAAACATATTTAAATATAATGCCATTGCACCACCATTATTGCTTATGGGTATACGAGAAGTGCAAACGGCTAATATTTTTCAATAATAATGCTTATCAAATACATTAAATCGATAAACAAAACATTACATACACTATTATGCATTAGACAATCAAGTATTCGCTACATGCTTACATGTACTCTGTGGTCAAATTGTTTCTTTTGACATAGATTTTCTTTGTTTTTTTTTAATAATTGGCTTCGCACGGTTTGTGCATTTAGCCGGTGTGAAGTTTTATACGTTTACCATAGAAATCTATGCGGATTGGAGGGTATTAACGACTGCAAATGCAGCCGGGACCAACGGCTTAACGTACCTTCCGAAGCACGAAGTAGCTCGAGATAATAATCCGAATTGGGTCAGCGTGGAGGGTCATGGCCCATCCTCCTTAACCATCCATATGGAAGGCCTGAGCCCCTGCAGTGGGGACGTAAAAGGGCTGATGATGATGATAGACATCTATATATATGTTTATGATGTTTACTGTGGTCTTACTGAATATCGAAGGATTTTCGATTTCAGTAATTTCATATACTTACACGAAAAGTAAGTGATTTTGAGTGACAAGTATAATACAATGCAATATACAAATGTACTATATTTTACGAAAGTTCTGTAGCAGTAATCTGAATGAAAAATTTCAACTGACACTATGAATTGACTAGGAAACTTAAGTTTACATCACGCCTTTATATCACTTCTACAAATATTACACTCCCCTATAAAACTTTAGACGTTTCCATTCCATTATATAATCTTTGTATTTTTCTGGTAATCTTCTATCTCTTTCAGGTTGTTTTCTTCTACTATTATTTTCCACTGCTCGACTTCCTTCAATTTCTTCACAACTTTTTCTATTTTCTGCTTCATTCTCTACATTCTTTCGACTTTGATCTTCTTCAATATTCACTACCTCTCGACTCCAATCTTCTTTCATATGTTCATTATCAAAAACTTCTTCATTTTTTTCATGTTGTATTGTATAAAGTTATCAAAATTAAAACCACTTTCAAAACTATTGCCATTATTCACATTACTATAATTTTTTACTTCTTCATTTATTCGACTATCATTTATTTTTTAACAATCATCCGTTGCTATGCTTATTCGGACTCTGGCATATCCATTTTTTTTAACATCCTAAACACTGCATTATTATTTTATTTTATCTTCATCCCTGGCCTCTCTTTCTGGGCCCATAACCTGATACCCGATGGTAAAACGGGTATAGAGAAAGACCAGGGAGCTTTTAGATCACATGAGTTTATTTATCACCAAAAATATATACTTTATAAAATACAAACAGCACCGACAATAGCTTTACGAAGAGTTACTTTCAATATATAACAATAGACGCGCATGTGCAAAACAGATTGTCAAAATGTCAATATTTAAATTTAAATAAATTAAGAAGACCTTAAACCAAGAAGGTCTCCCTCAACAATTCTTGAGTCAAAATGTAATGCACCCGTTCTTTAGAGATGCCTACAGTATCAGCTATCTCGGAAAGTTTCAATCTTCGGTGAGCTAAAACTGCATCATGAATTTTGATCACAATTTCTGGAGTAGTGGCACTTTTTGGACGTCCTGGACGATGTTCATCTTGGGTGCTGGTACAGCCACGTTTAAATTCAGCCACCCAATTTTTTATGGTCGCATATGAAGGAGCATTTTCTCCCAAAACATCCATCATCTCCGAAAAAAGCTCTCCACCTTTCAATCCTTTTAAATGCAAAAACTTTATCATAGCTCGTAGCTCAATTTTATCCATTTTGCAAAAAAAAACAAAAGAATGCTATTTGAAATGTCAATATTTAAAAGAAAAACTATACGATCGATTTGAAATTTGGAACACTGGTAGCTAATGAACCAATGAGTAAAATATAAATATACAAAATATGGGTTGGGCCAGCTATTTATCATCCCGCCTACGTATTACTAACTAACATCACATAAGGTAAGTCATCTCACAATTCAATCCTTCAAATGAAGGACTTCAATCCTTAAAAAAATGAGAAATAATCTTAAAAGCGACTTAGTTATTCAAAAAACTGCTATTAAGTCGGGTGGAGGTTTTTTTGTAGGTTATATTAATTGATAACCGTCGCTTTTGAGATAGCTATTAGGTATTTCTCGCTTTTTAAACTTGCCTTTGTCATAAAAATATACAGAACAAAAAAAAAATGTGTATGCTATGAAAATATACTTACACTAAAGGACTCCGTAAGGACCACATTAACAATTTAACTAACAAAGTAAAAAAAGTCATGATGATTTCGTAACGTTCAAAGAAAGTTTTGAAACAGTTAATTTTACGCTTGTGTAGACTTTCCTTTACATGATTGTATTCTTGAGGGACTATGGTATAACCGCTACTTTTTTCCTTCTCAGGTCAATTGAATAAAATTAAATCATCCAAAAATAGGTCAAGTGAAAAGAAGCTTGCTGATAACAATAAATAATAAGACAACATTATTGCTTACATTCCAATATGAGTAGCTAAAGTCCCAGTATTATGGAGTATCTGAGACAACGAAGGTACTACAACATTCAGACCCGAGACGATATAGAACAGTTCATTTTCTACATTGACCCATCCGGAAGGTCATCAACCTTAATTGTATCAAGATTTTATGTATGTTGATGTGACGAATATTTCATTTTGTAAAAAAAAAGTGCTCGTTTGATTTTGTTTTGCTACTGATACTTTAAATGGGTAAATTAGTTAGTAATGTTACTAATGATTGTAGTTGTGGAATGTTTCAGGGTTACTCAATCAAGAGCAATCGATCGACATTGGCATTGTGACGTTTGGTACTCTTGACGTTCGACAGTAGCGCCAATTGCGATAATGTTGGTTGGTTATTGAATAAAATAAATGATATTGAGTTATTGCTGTGAATCCGTACTCCAGACGCTATTTTGTCAATCACAATTGAGATTGTATTGCATTGATATTAGATGAAGATTCGATTTTTACAATATGAAAAGAAAGATCTTTGTTAGGATTGTGTTGTGATTTTTATTGTTACTCGTAAATACTATTTGAAATACATGTACATTAAAATAATGGCACGTTTAGCAGTTACTATTATTATTTTTCCATATATCAGAATACCGAACTAAAAATTAGGAAAAATGAGCGGTGTTTGGTTTGGTCTAAGACATGTATGGATTAGACATGTCGGAATGTATTGGTCATCATCATCAGCCTTTTTACGTCCCCAATGTCAATTTAACCTAAACCAATGAACAAATGGGCTCAGGCCTTCCTTATGGATGGTTAAGGAGGATGGGCCATGACCCTCCACGTTGGCCCAATGCGGATTGAAAGGTATTAACTACTGCAAATGCAGCCGGGACCAACGGCTTAACGTGCCTTCCGAAGCACGAAGTAGCTCGAGATAATATTTTTTTGGTCACCCATCCCGTGACCGACCTTTGCGAAAGTTGCTTAACAACAACGACCGCGGTGCTTATCCTCAACGTCACCGAGCTACAAAATGTGTTGGTGTTGGAATAATAAAGCTGAATAAAAATAAGAAACGGTGTATCTCTTACCGTTTAGCCAGTAAGTACTTCTACCCTAGGGAACCTTTTAGTGGGTTTAAAAAGTAGCCTAACGTGTTAATCTAGACTGAGACTTAAGCCTATATACCAAATTTCATCAAAATCGGTTCAGTAGTTTTTAC